GTGTTGGGACCACTTCTTTTTAACATCTTTATCAGTGATCTGGATGAAGAGATAGAATGCACCCTCAGTAAGTTTGCAGGCGACACTAAGTTGGGAGGGAGTGTTGATGTGCTTGAGGGTCTCTACAGAGAGACATGGACAGACTAGATTGATGGGCTGAGGTCAGCTGTCTGAAGTTCAACAAGGCCAAGTGCCAGGTGCTGCACTTGGGTCACAAGAACCCCATGCAGTTCTACAGGCTTGGGGAAGAGTGGCTGGAAAGCTGTCCAGCGGAAAGGGAATTGTGGGCTCTGATCGATAGATGACTGCATATGAGCCAGCAGTGTGCTCAGCTGACCACGGCAGCCAATGGCATCCTGGTCTGTATTAGAAATAGTGTGGTAAGCAGGACCAGGGAGGTGGTCATTCCTCTGTACTTGGCATTGGTGAGGTCACACCTCAAATATTGTGTCCAGTTTTGGGCACCTTAATGTAAGAAAGACATCGGAGTGCTAGAGCATGTCCAAAAAAGGACACTGAAGCTGGTGAAGGGCCTTAGGAACAAATCTTATGAGGAGTGGCTGAGGGAACCTAGGCTGTTTAGTCTGAAGAAAAGGAGGTTGAGGGGAGACTTCATCACCCTCTGCAACTACCTGAAGGAACATTGTAAAGAGGTAGGCACTGGTCTCTTCTCACAAGTAACTGCTGATAGAGGAAATGGCCTCAAGTTGAACCAGGGGAAGTTTGGACTAGACATTAGGAAGAACTTTGTCATGGAAAGAGTTGTCAGACCTTGGAACATGCTCCCCAGGGAGGTGGTTGAGTCACCATCCCTGGATGTGTTTAGAAGTCACCTAGATATAGTACTTAGGAATGTGGCTTAGTCCTGAACTTGGTAGAGTAGGGTTAATACTTGGACTCCATGATCTTAAAGGTCTTTTCCAAAACTAAGTGATTCTCTGAAAGGGGAAGATAAAGGATATTCTGTTTTAGCGGAAAAGATGGTTTGTATTTTCACTCTCTTACTCTTCCACTTGTCTTTCCTTCTTCCCCATTTACAGCTTCTGCAATCCCAGATAATGGAAGGAGATCCTGTCTAAAGCTGAAGGTCTTCGTGCGATCAGCAAGTAAGTTCTTCAGATTAAGCTTTCAAGGGTGGCATTGTAGCACATGCTTTAATGTATAGTCTAGTAAGCAGCAGTAAATGTTTTTGTTACTGTTAAATCTGGTGTTACTGTTCTGTACAGTAACATTTGTGTTATGATTTTAATAATTTTCATATCATTTTTCATAAAGCTTCGTTTTATTACATAGCAGTTCTAACATTTCTTAAACTGTTGTACAAATAAATTATTATACTTGCATTTAGACAAATGCTACAGACTTTAAAATATCAATATGCTTAATTATATGTAGTAAATAAAGAGAAAAAAGAGAGAAAAAAAAAGAAAATGGGGAGTTTAAGGGTGTCTCACTAACATTTGGTTATTATCTCTGTTTTTGTTATAGACAGCTGTATGAAAACTATAGGTGTTCATGATCGTGTTTTTGATGTTAACGACAAGGTAGAAAATTCATTAGAACCAGCAGGTTAGTATGCTTACAGAATCTCTTCTAACAAATGTGTGTATCCCTCTGGTGCTTCAGTACTTTTTTTCTTTGCATGCTTTGCATGGTACGACGGCTCTGCTTTTGCACATTCCTAGCAGTGCTAATACCTCTTATGGTGTAGTTCCTGTACACTTGTGTAATGGAGGGGAGGAAAAAAGTTGCTTTGTTTGTTTTTTGAGTGAAATGGTTTTATAAAATATAGTGTGTGCTAGTGTAAAATTTTCACCAGTATACTGAAGTCACTGGCTCATCCAAGTCAAACACCCAGCATACTGGAAAAATATTATTTACCAACTGGGTGCAAAGTTTTAGAAATAAACTCAGTGGTCACTCTGCACTTACTATGTGGTTTCAAAAAATTTTCAGGAAAACAGAACTGTTGCTTTTTTAATGCTTGTGCATGGCACAGGAATGCAACTGACGAAGTCGATGTTCAAGTAAGAAGTTAGTCTTTTAAAATTATATACATTTGTATGTATAATTAGTTAGGCAAAATATCCTTTTTACATACATGCACACTCACACACATGCACGCTCTGATATACATATAAATGCTTATCCTGTTTTTATTGAGCCACACTTAATTTGAGGGGGCTTTTCTGCCTGTTTGTGCAAAGCAATGCCTAGAGAATATGAGTAATGCTGGCTGTGATAAAGCCCCTCATCTGCCCAGGGCAAAGTTGCATTAACCTTCACAGTCAATCAAGCTGGTATGTCTCTGCATGGAAAGTGCTTGTGTGTTATTTGTCTGACTCAGGTTTATGATAGGTAGAAGCACATTTAATTCCAGATGTGTGAGTAATACCACCAGCTTCAGTGGAATGGTTCATGACTTTAAAATTAGGTGGGTATGTAGGAAAAGTGTTTGCAATAGTAATATGACCTGTTTGTTTTATATGTACCTACACACTGCTCACATATGGTTGTATTCAAGCCTCAATAAGTAAAATAGACAGTTAAATAACAAATTATACCAGAAAAAAATTATACAAATACCGTTTAGTACATACCGTGAAGAACAGTTTACAGAGATCCTTTTTTTTTTTCCTCTCTTATGCTATTTGAAAGAGACTTCTCCTTTGGTAATTTTTGCTCTTAGTTATTTTCAGTTCCTTCAGCTGAAAGTCTTTATTTACACTTAAGTATAAATAAGGCTTTCACGGTTTATCCACTCTGAATGATTTACCTAGGGATTCATGATAGATTTATTATTGTTCTTTAAAAGGAATTTTGAAACTCTCCTGAAAACTTTGGTTTTGAGAGTCAAAGATGTTCTCTAAGTAAATCTAAATACAAGAAGAGTGCATTTACAGTCATAAATAACAGTAACAGTATTCTTCTACAGAAGGCATTAGGATGGTCTTTCCCTGTCTCTAGGTAACAAAATGCAGAAACAAAATGCATTTTTTTATGTTTATGATTTGGTGAACATGGGCTAATTGATGTGTATTTCTCCTGTTACTGGTTTGCAAAAGAGATAATCTGAGTAATAAATGCCTAATTTTAGTGAACTCACTGGGGATTTTTTTTCAGCAGTGCTGCTCATTTCCCATTGAGTGACTGTACCTAACAAGCACTGTCATGAAAGCATAATCCTAGAAAGCAACAGGCAAACCAGGAAACCAACATCATACAAAGAGCATCCTGCAGTCTGAGATTAGATACTATTTGTGTTATCAGGAGGCAATAATAGCTTTAATAACAAGGCTTGGCACCAGAAAGTTCCCACTGCCAGCTTAGTGTATATTTGCATTGTTATTTGGACCAGTCACCATTAGATAATCAGTCATTCCCAGATCTGCTCTCATGCTTTTCTGTTATTAGGCTGTTAGACTTGCTGCTGCCTTGATAGATATTGTTGCTTGTGATTTGTATCATGTACTAACTTACCTGCCTGGGGCATGCGTCTTCTGCTTTTGTGTTCTCCCTTAGCCTGACATGGTCTCCTTCCAGAGTAGACAGAAGAACTGGGACACAGGAGGGTCATGTTCAACAGATTGCTTACTGTCACTTTTTTTTTTTAAATCACCATTTATGTGATTTTTGAACTGTTGTGCAGCTTTCACTGATTTTGTTCAGGAGTTTGTAAGAAACTGGTCTATAGAGAACACACTTGTTTTGGAAGTGATGAAGGTAGTTGGCCCTGTTCCTGTCCTCCCCTTCTCTTTCTCCTTAATATTAGAACTAAAAAATTAATAAACAAAAACTGCAGCTATGTATATCTGGAAAAATCATACCTGAAGCATATGGTGTAAAACTGTGTGGTTTTTAAAATTCATGGCTGTCAAACTAATTTTTCTAACTACTGCTGGCATTCCTAGTTCTTAGCAGTGACCTTCCAGATTTACTCAGGAATTTTGTGCTATTCATCACTTGTCTTCAGTGTATAAAATAAAGACCTTTCCCCTATGCATTAAAGATTGTGCAGTGTTAGAACTCTGCACCTCCAAGGAAAACAATGTTTGTAAAGCGATTTTGAGAACTGCAGATGAATTGTGTGCTCTAATATACAAGCACAGAGATCTTGGGGTTGCATTGACAGAAAACCCAGATGACTTCTTGAAAGAAATGCATTAATGTCACATGAAAGTTAATTCTCCTCTAAATAATATTTTTATAAAAATGTCATCATAGATAATTTCCATACTTTTTATTTGACTGATATAATCTTTTTAGTTTAGGGCTTTTTCGTTGGTGTTTTGTTGGGGTTTTTTTTAGCAGTAGCCAGTGTTCCAGTCTTGGCAGGATCTGATAGTCAAGGAGAATGAGGGTTTATTACTACTCTACACCAATTCTGCCCTATTGTGCTTTATTGCTGCCTCATGGATGTAATTAGGACAACACTGTTGACATTCAGTGTTGCAAATTCAGATTTACTTGCAATTCTATTGATGATATAAGAGTTAGAAGGTAGTACATATGATTCTCCCCTGCAGTTTTAGTTCAGCA